GGACTAAGAATGGGTGAGTTAACCGTCAAATGCCTTTTGTACGCCGATGATCAAGTTATCCTTGCGTCATCGGCGGCCGAGTTGCAAATGATGGTCACGTTAATGAACAGATCATTAAAAGAAAGGGGTATGAAAGTGAACGCAAGTAAGACGAAGGTTATGGTTTTTGAAAGAGAAGAAAGTAAAACGATTTGTGAAATAAAGATAGAAGGGGAGTTGATCGAGCAAGTAGACGAGTTGATCGAGCAAGTAGAGAGTGATCGAGAAGTAGACGAGTTGGGCAGGTAGTATATTTGGGCTGCGTATTTAGCAGGGATGGGAGATATGATAAGGATATAGAACGACGAGTGAATGCGGGAAATAGAGTAAATGGGGCCCTACACTATATTGTGAAGAGTCAAAATGTGTCGAAAAAGGCACGCATGGCAATTCACAATGCTGTGTTGGTCCCTACTTTAACGTATGGTAGTGAAAGTTGGGTGTGGCAGAAGAAGCACGAGAGTAGAATGAACGCAGTAGAAATGCGGTCGTTAAGGAGTATGTTAGGGCTGAATCTGAATGACAGGGTAAGAAATTTTGTAATAAGAGAAGAGTGTGGTTTGCAAGATGATGTTGTGACCAGGATTAAGAAAGGAATGCTTCGGTGGTTTGGTCATGTGGAAAGAATGGATGAGGAAAGACTGACAAAGAAAATTTATGTTGCAGAAGTGAATGACAGAGTCGGAAAGGGACGTCCTAGGCGAAAATTTATCGACCAAATTGGCGATTTATTAAAAACGGGCCAAATTAGGAGTACCTTTAACCGACGAGCATGTATGCGTAGGTGTATGGATGTGAAGGAGGCGAGAGAGGTGTGTCAGGATCGTGCCAAATGGAAGTCTGTAGTCTCTGCCTACCCCTCTGGGTGACAGGCGTGAGTGTTTATGTTATGTTTATGTATGTATGTACACCCCATTCCCTTCCTAAAACCCGCTTGCACATCCCAAATTTTTCCATCAGTTTCTTTCATAACTCTTTCAATTAACACCTTAGCATACAGTTTACCCACAATACTAAGCAAGCTGATACCACGGTAGTTTTTGCAGTTCTGCTGTGACCCTTTTCCTTTATATATTGGTACTATAACTGCTTTACACCAGGCATCCGGTACCCGTTTTAATTCCCAACATAAATTAAACAAGGTGTACAGCAGGCCTGCCACCACTCCCTCTCCAGCCCTTAGCATCTCGAGTGATACTCTATCATATCCAGCTGCCTTACCTGCTTTCATGTTTTTCATTGCTTTCATTATTTCATCTACACTTATCTCCATACCCCTTTCCACTTCTTTCGGAATTTCTTGTTCATTTAATTCAGACGACTCTTCACTCATAAACACGCTTTCAAAGTATTCCTTCCATCTGTTTAAATTCGAAACTTCATCATTCAGAATACATCCATTCTCGTCTCTTATAGCATTAATTATAGGCTGTTTTGTATTTCCCCTGGCAGTTCTTACGAGTTTCCAGAACATTTTTATATTAGCCTGGAAATTATCAGATATCCTTCTATCATTCTTATCCGTTCTTTCTTTCTTTTTCCTTTCAACTACTTCTTTTACTCTCTTATTTAGACGTCTAAATTCTGCCTTTTTACTTTCAATCTCATCATTCATACCACCAGAATTACCAGTTTTAGTTGCTAGTAAATCTAACCATGCTTTCTTCTTTGATTCAACTTCCACCCGCACCTCATCATCCCACCACAACGTATTCCTTTTCCTTTCATTTGTTCTCTTACTTACACCACATACTTCGGTGGCTGCATCCACCAAACCTTTCTTAATATTATCCCACACAGTATTCAAGTCTAAATCATTCATACAATACTCATTCAAACACCTAATATTTTCTCTCAGTCTACATTTATACTTCTCTTTCACATCTTCATCTTGTAACTTCTCTATTCTCATACGCTGTAACGCAGTGGTAGACACAGATGTCCGATGCCGCCAACGCTTGAAAAGACCATTAATTTGACATAAGACCAAGTAATGATCCGTCCCTACGTTGGACCCCCGGTAAAACCCTTGTATCTACGACTGCGCTCCTCATTTTTTCATCCACAATTACGAAATCTATCATGCATCTATCATCACCTCTTTGCCATGTATACATGTGAATCTTCTTATGACGAAAAAAAGTATTCGTCACAAAGAGATTCTTTTCAACACATACGGTGAGGAGGTCTTCACCATTCTCATTTATACTTTCATCACCAAACGTTCCCAATATCCTTTCATAACCAGACCTCTTCACCCCAACCCTTCCATTAAATTCTCCTAACATAATAATATTTTCATTTTCCTTACATTTTGTAAACACCATCCTTACCATGTCCCAAAACAGCTCTCGGATGTAAGTGGGCTTAGACATGTCTGGGGCGTACACTCCTAGCAAGAACAGCTTCTTTAAGCCCACTTTCATTCGTATCCATAGCAGCCTCGGGCTTACACATTCATACTCTTTCACACATTGACCCATTCTTTCTGAAATGATGAAACCGACGCCCTGGCATGCCCGTTCGGTCTCGTCTACACCAGACCAATACGCGGTATACGTGCCATGTGCAGTGGCATCCTTTCCCTTTCGTTTCGTCTCATTTACACATAACACATCTATTCCTCTGTCATTCATTATTTCGCATACTTCATCCATATTATCATTCATTGCTCCACATACATTCAGCGTAGCCAGACGGGCTTCCGCAATCCACTTTTCGCCCCTCCGGGAAACAGAACGTGACGGGTGGCTAACCTCATCGCCGGTTTTTCTCCCGGAGATTCTTCGCACCTTCACACTTCGCACGCACGCACGAAAGTTACATATCATTCTAATTCAATGATTGTATTATCATTCCTAATTATACAATATAACTGTTCCACATTTTTAACGATATTTCCACAATTATTTCTTCTGCGGCAGCAATGCGCCGGATACGAGCTAGCAAGATAATATAAAAAATATAAACTTTGAATTACATAGTTATCAGTAATTTACAACGTCATTTTCGAAATTGAAATTACAATATTGAAAAAAAAAACAACTGAAATTATCGTAAAGTCCTACTTTCTGTGGTATCGTCCTAAGAATGCTGGCTACGTGTCCTCACTGAATGGCTATACTCGGCCTTCAAGCGAGGAAACAACAAACTAAACAACTTCTTATTACCAGCAGCGATGATCAGTCGCAGATACAGTTTTTTAGGAACTACACTGCACGTGCACCCTACGGACCAATAGTCTCTACAGCAAATTGCACAAATATGTACTTATCTTCCAGATACTCTGGACTATTTACTTGGTTCAGTTGCCTCTAATGCCACCCCTGCTTTAGACGAGGTACCCCTGAGATGGGATGCTGTCAAAGTGTTCGCAAATAGTATCCCACACTAAAGCTTTATCTCTCTCTCTCTCTCAAGCAACCAAACCCATACCGTTGGGTCTCCTGGTATCGTCTCTAAATATTCTACAAAGATCTTAAACCGAGGAAACATTTATAGAGTTACGAGCTGCACTACGGACTCCCCGAGCCCGATATGTGAATGGAGCCAGGGCAAAACGAGCACTTGGAAACATCAAGTGGTGCAGCCTCACCAAAGTCACGAAAGATAGTCGAGTGGCGCATCGCCAATCGCCATACCAACACTCCTCTTCCCTTACGACTCTACCTCGACTACAGCGGTCCAGGGATCCTCTTCCTCTCCTCTAGCCACAGCCCACTAACACACATCCAACGTGGCTAGACATCCTCAGGCAATCTTTCGACACTTGGCTATGGCCCTTGAGTTTGGTGGAAAACGAGGAAAGAAGAAATAAAAAAAAAACATTCGAAATAATAATCTAATACTTTTATACTTACTGGTTACTGGTACCAGAAAATATTGTCGGTATACTGCACTTTTTCAAAGTGGTGCAGTTCTCATGTCTAATAAAACAGTAGTCTGTAAAATGTTTGGAACAAATATGATCATTTTGTTTCGGATGCCAGTTCACAATATTTATGCTTTTAAGCCATAATTTTAGTCTAAGTTTTTTTGAAAGCCTATAAGTCTAATATTTTTTGATAATCATCCGTTGTTGGCGACTTTTTTTGTTAACACATATGGGTAGGAAAGAACATCGATTAAGTATTATAGACAAGGAACTCGACAACCCTATTGAATTTTACTGTTTATCAAAACTCAGTAATATACACCCAAACATGTTGGTATATATGATATTAAGATTAGTAGCAAATTTTTAAGTACTTATATTATCAAATAGTTTTAATTTGTTTAATATTTGCTGCAAATTCACTTACTTGTGAAATGTTATACCACTTCCCTTTTGGTAACGAGTTTTACAGATTACGCACACTCTCATTATTAATAAAAATAATTCTTATTATGTAACTAATATTATACACGCTCAAACAACAAAATACTTTAGTTTTTTAGTTTAAAAGTTCAAAATACAGACTTATGAAATAAGACAATATAACAAAGAAAACAGACTTTGGCATATTATGTCAATTTTATTTTTCAAGACATCCTTTAGCGGCGCTTCAAATTGGCACAGTCATTTTGTATGGTATAGCCTAGTGTACGTTAAACATCGATAGACTATCGATGGTATCGATAGTAAATGGCTATCGATACTATCGATAGTTTTTAAAACTATCGATCGATTGTTTACTCGGGTACTACTTTTACATCCCTAGAGTCGAGGTATGCATGTATGTAAGTTATTCCCCGGCTATAGTGACAAAGGTATAGACATTGAGATTGTTCTCTATGGTAGGGGAATTACCGTGCGTATATCATACATTCAAAGGCGTAGACATTGAGATTCTTCTCTATGGTTGGGGAATTACCGTGCGTATATCATTCATTTACAAGACAAAAGTCAGTCAGTCAGTTTTTTATTGTGGATGTTTGAAGTTGAGTGGAGTAACAAACAATTTAGAATTAAACAATAAAACATGAGTAGTAAGTCACGTGCGTGGGATTACTTCAAAAAGACTAATGAAAAGTTTGCCAAGTGTTCTTTGTGTAAAAGACAGTTTAAACTAAGTGGAAATACTACGAACTTGATCGATCATATGAAGAGAAAACATAATGAGGTATGGATGTGGTCATCCACTGTTTCTGTTACTCAAGACGTAGATACCACTGAGCAAAATGAGAAAATGGGCCCAAGCCCTAAAAAGAGAAATACGCTAAAAAATTATTTTGATAGAAGTAGTAAATATCCAGATGGGAAAACAAAGCAAAATTTGGATAACAAATACGTGCGCATGATTGCTGTTGACATGGAACCTTTGCGAAAAGGAGAACATGAAGGATTTCGGGATTTTGTAAATGCTCTCGATAGTAGATATGAAATTCCTGATACAACAATATTGAAAAAGAAATTACTGCCGGAATATTATGAAAACGTGAAACAGAAGCTCGTCATAGCATTATCGAAAGCAGAACATGTTAGTGTGACTACTGACTTATGGACATCAATTGCAAATGAAGGCATCCTTTCAGTTACTTGTCATTTCTTTCACAACGAAAAATTAATTGCACCATTATTGGAAGTTGTGAAGATGGAAGGAAGTCATAACGCAGAAAATATAGCCAGTGTAAGTATTTTTAAATTTTATTGCCTTGATACCTACCAATTCAGTGTTTCTTTATAATCAGACATAAACAATATTATTATTGTTTTCAGATGTTGGATGCTACTCTCTCAAAATGGGATATCAGGTCAAAATGTGAAGCAATAACGACTGATAACGCTCAAACAATGATTAACGCCGCAGCCAAACTGCATATACGACATATACCCTGCTTTGCGCACACACTAAACCTGACGGTAAGTGATTCGTTTGCTGTGACCTGCTTAGACCAGATTCTGAAAAAATGTAAATCGATTGTGACTTTTTTCAAGATGAGTACTCTAGCTAGCGATAAATTACGGGCTATTCAACGTGAATTAAATAAACCAGAACTGAAAGTGATCCAGGAAGTACCCACCCGCTGGAACAGTGCACACCACATGCTGCAAAGAATTGTTACAATGAAGACAGAATTAACTCTCGCACTTAATGAATGTAATCGGGCTCCACCAGGAGTCAATGCTGACGAATACCTAATTATTCAAGAAACAATTCAAATTCTGGAACCTTTCGATCTAGCTACAACAAAAATTTCCGGAGAAAGCTATATAACATTGTCACTGATAATACCATTGATTCGTGGAATAAAAACGAAATTAGTAGAAGTTGAATCTCAAATTGTTACTGAAAGCGGAAACAAAATATTACTCTGCATGAAGGGATCAGTTGACAAAAGACTAAGTCCCTATGAAAGCAGGACACCTGTTGTACTTGCTACAATATTGGACCCCAGATTTAAGAAGAAGGGGTTCAAAACAAGTGACGACGAGAAGCGAGCTGGTCAGTGGCTGGAAAAGGCCTATGCTAGCCATTTAACTAAATAACGCTTGGCTGTAGAAGAAACGCAACCAACACCATCCACGTCTTCAGGAACATCTAATGACCTGTTGGGATTTCTAGACGTTCCGGACGTATCGACCCCGTTGAGTAACTCATTGGTAGATGTCAGGCAATATCTCGAGAAGCCAGTAATTGACAGAAAAGAGTGTCCTATAACATACTGGAAATACACCAACAATAAATTGAAGGAATTAGCGATGCTCTATCTCTGTATTCCAGCATCTTCTGTGCCTTCAGAACGAATATTTTCGAAGGCCGGACAAATTTTAACCGAACGCAGAAATAGGTTAAAAGAAAAAAGATTAAATGAATTGTTGTTTATAAAACAAAATAGCTGTTATTTTAATGATTGATTTCTAACTATAATAATGATGAATACTGATTTTTGATTGTTTGATTGTTATTTCGAATATATATATATCAAAATAAAATTCTACGTTTCGTATAACATTTGTTATTTTATTGATGTTACGCTAATCCTACAAGTTTTTAAACTATCGATAGACTATCGATACTATCGATAGTTTTTAGTTAAACTATCGATACTATCGGATTACCAAACTATCGATGTTTAACGTACAGTAGTATAGCCAGTCCAGCGTAGGGTAAAGACACCAAAGAGTACGCACTACCAAAGAGTACGCACAGCTTTTAAATGGTACGAAATTTCAACACTTGGCAGCACTGCGCTAACTGTCAGTTGGCAGTGACGCTTGGAATCAGTAGGCACGCTTTCAAGTTTTGAGTACTTTTAATATTATTCATCAACAATTTCGAAGACGTATTACAAGATTTGCATAAGGGTGCCACCTGAATATGTGAGTTATTCTTGAAATTTGGTTATTATATTTTGCTATTAAGTAAGGTTATAAATGCGATCTTGTTGGAATGATTGTAACTGTCATAGCCAATCGAATTAGCGTGAATCTTAAGAGTGCGCACCTAAAGAGTGCGCATGCGCACTCTTAGGTAGTAACTCATGGGGAACAAAGTAGCTTTTTTAATTATATATCTTTTGTTTTTTTATAGATCGCAAATATGTCAAGTTATAAAAGAAAATCAGATAGAAAATTGGTATTTACTGAAGAAATTTTAAAAGATGCAAAGGAAAGAATACGCCGTGGGCAAAGTCAAAGATCAGTTGCAGGTCTTTGAATGTCCCAGAATCGACTCTTAGAAAAAGACTAAAAGCAGGCACTGTTCCTTGATCTTTAGGTAGATTTTCAAATGTATTTACTCCTGAATTAGACAGTAACTTGGCAGAGCACTGCCGACGCTTGGATTCATGTTTTTATGGTCTGACGAAGAAGGAGCTAGGAAGAGTCGCTTATGATTTAGCAAATAAAAACGGTCTTAATCATAGATTTAATAATGATAAAAAAGGAAGCTAGCAAGAAATGGGTCGAAAACTTTGCCAGGCGGCATAACTTCAGTCTCCGTCAACCTGAAAAAACAAGTTTGGCACGTGCTGCAGGATTCAATCGTGTACAAGTGCAACGATTTTATGATAATTTAAAACAAGTACTTACAACCTTCAAATTTGTTGGCAGACAAATTTTCAACATGGATGAAACTGGCCTCCAGACAGTGCCAAACAAGTTACCTAAAGTTTATGCTAAAAAAGGCAAGAAAATTGTAGGAAAAGTTGTGCCCGCAGAACGTGGACAAACAGTAACGGCTGTTTGCTGTATGGGTGCTACTGGAATATTCGTACCACCTGCATTAATTTTTCCTAGAAAGCGGCAAAAACCCGAATTGATGGATGGGGCTCCAGAGGACTCCCTACAGCTTGTATCCGATTCTGGTTATATGAACTCAGATCTATTTATAATCTGGCTCAATCATTTCATTAAGATGGTCAAGCCATCTAAAGATGAACCTGCTCTTTTGATTTTAGATAATCATTCATCTCATTTAAGTTTACAGGCTATTGAATTAGCTAGGGATCATGGAGTTGTTCTTTTGAGCTTAGCACCACACACAAGCCATCGCATGCAGAGTTTGGATACAGGATTTTTTTGGACCATTAAAAAAAGCTTATGCAGTTGCATGTGACAATTGGCAAGTTTCAAATCCAGGTCGTGCTATAACTCAATATCAAGTTGCTCGACTATTTGGCACTGCATACCTTAAGGTTGGTTTAATTGATAGAGCTAAGAAATCATTCGAATCTTGTGGCATCTGGCCTTTTAACGATCAGATTTTTTCCGATAAAGATTTTGTTCCTGCAAATGTCACTGACCGTCCCAATCCAACAGCAGAAACTTCAAGTACAGGCGAAGCCCTTAATAGTTCAAATCTAGCTGTTGAATTGCCACTTACAACTACAGAAACTGTTACCCAAGTTGTCTCGTCACCTATACCCGTCAATATTAGTATTTCAGCTCTAGATATAGCATTATCTCAACTCAGAGGAACCGAAACCCTGGAATCAACTGATAATCACCAGGAAGTAATAACAACACCAGAAAATGACGAGCCTACACCATCCAAATCATCTTTTCTTAGACCAGAAGACATCTTACCATTACCAAAGTCAAACATTCAGAAAAAAAGAAACATAAAACGTAAGAAATCAGAAATCCTTACCAGTTCTCCTTATAAAAATCAAATAGAAGCAGAACAAAAAGAAAAAGAAGAAAAGGCCAAGAAGACAAAGAAGACATCAAATAAAAATAAATCTACGACACCAAATAGACCGACACTGCTGGAAACAAGTAAGGGTACAGAAGTTGTTCGATGCCCCCTTTGTGTCGAAGTCTACGTAGAACCTCCAGATGAAGACTGGATCCAATATAGTCAGTGTGGGGTTTGGTGGCACGATGAGTGCTCTGACTATCTAGGATTCGGAGTTTTTAAGTGTGACGTTTGCGTTGGTTAAAGAAGATGTTCCACCATGGACAAAGCTTCCATTACCCTCATGCGTACTCTTAACTTGTACTAAGAGCCATAGATGCGCACTCTTTAAGTCATTGTACCTTAAGAGTGCGCGTGAGACACGTCCTTGTTTTTATTAATTATTAAATATTAATGGACGTTGATTAATAATAAGAGTAAAAAAAAGTGTTCCTAAAGAACCAAAGCCTAATTATAAGTAAAATTGAAGACTGAACTCAAAAGTTGATTATTTTAAAAATAAATCTGTCAAAACTGCGCACTCTTTGGTATCTTTACCCTACTTGTATATATAGAGGTCAGTGTACGCAATCCATAAATATTAGCACTATCCACCAATCATAAAATATACGTAGTGATTTATTTAATATTATAGTAAGTCTATGATAATCTTTAGCTTCGAACCAGAGTACTTTTAATACGGTATACTATATTATTTTTAACCCAAACATAGCAAACATAATACAAATCAGCTTAGGCTTTACGGTCTACGACCTTTGCTGGCCTTATGGGGCATCGTAATAACAACAAAAGTAGCAAATCCAAAGACTAAAGTCGAAAGTAAAGACAAAATTCAAAATATCGGAATTCACCATAGAGCATATAGAAAAAGCGGGAAAAAGGGTAAGTAAAAATCTATGCGAAGTTGTTTACATATTATTTTTGTTTTTATGTTTAAATTTTGTTATTATCTCTTAAAGATTTTGTCAAAAGTTTACGATGAGTAATGAAACGAAAGAAGCGTTGACAAAAGAGTTGAGATTGTTGCAAGAAAAATGTAGACACGCTTATGATATTATTGAGTATTTGCGAGATGATGTTCTTATACCAAACGACAATGAAGCTAAAACTTTAAATTATGTAGAGGCTTTACGAACAGAACTATGCAAATCGAACACGGCTATTAATACGTTCAGTAATTTACTATTAAGCCAATTCATCTCTAAAATGGAAGAGCAAAATAGAGAAGTTGAAATATTCATAGATTCTACCAAGAGATCAATTTCTGACATGGATGTTTTAATAGAAGTGTATTTATTGTTTTATTTTTATTATCATTCCTAATTCATGCAATTCAAAACCATATTATAAAAATCGATTGCCTTTAAAGAATTTGCTGACACAACTGTCATTTTATTCTTAGAAAAGTGCACCAACAAGATCATTTTTTATTGCTGTTAACCCGTAAGCTGAGGAGGTCGCGACATATTATACTCCTGTTCGCTCGGGACCTTAATGGCGGGAATCGCAAATTTTTTGCTAACTTGCAAATATTGCTATATTTTCACTTTGAGAGAAAAGTATTATAAAAAAAATGTAGTCACATTAATAAATTCCTTTAAATGTATGAGTCAATTATGAATAATGATTCATATCAACATTTATATTTTTAGATCAAATAACTTAATCAATATAACAAAAGAATTCAGGTCAAGAGCTAGAGCAAAAAAAGAAGGATATACATCCAAAGGCAATATTGAAGGCTAAAGCAAGATTCCATATGATAAGAAAAGAACTTCATAGAGTTATATATTCCTTGTATCCAAACTCTGCCCACCTTATCAAGGATGTTCTTGGGGTAAGCCTTTGAAAAAGATAAGTTTCATTCATTAATTTCTAGTGACCTGATCATTCAATTATTGATTTGTCTCTCAAACTGGGTCATTTGAGTTGTTTATTCAAATAGATCATTTTAAGTTACAGTGATCTGTGAGATCTGCTTAATTAAGTTGGTTATAGGCATTACTATACTCTTTCGTTGTAGGTCCGTCCATTGTTTAATTAGGAACATTCAAGAAATATATACTTGGATGCGACCCTGGTCAAATGAATAAGTCATTCATGTTTGACACATGCCTACTTTGAAATATCTTAATCCTTTGGTAGACCTTTAAAATGCATTACTGTATTTATTGCAAGATTTTTCTTATATTATATTGAACGTGAGGGTTAGTGAGTGCAGAGACTTTGCATGATGCCGCTTCCAAAGACTAATCTTTTAAGATATAGAGAGTTTTGTTTTCCTTGCATGGTGCAAGTGAAGTGATACTAGGAAAAAAGTATTATCTCTTACTCCCCTCACATAATAATGTCTGCAGATCATATTTAAATAGGTTATTTTTATTAGGTGTGAAACACAGGTGCACTCTATTCTCTCACTGTCATAGTCTTAATGTGATGGCAATCCAATATAACTGAAAGAAGATTAGGCTCAGGACTAAAGATTACATGTTTTCCAGGGGTAAACAACCACTACCAGGCTGCTACTGTGAATTTTTTGACAGGAAAACCCAATAAACCAATTATTGCCTAACCAAGGATTTGTCCCCAAGACCATGATCACTTTTCGTGCTTATACCAGGAGAACAATTTTGCAATCACCATATATTATTACTATAATTTTATTTACTACTAGAAACCCACCTTGGATAGAAACCCACCTTGAATAAAAAAAATTGTTTTAATATGAAGCAAACAACACTGAGCTTTATAGAAGCCAATAATTTTAATATTACAGATACACTTCAATTTTGTTTATAAGTATAGATTACTTTTATTAAATAGGTACCACTGTTTCAGCATCTAATACAAGAGAGCCTAGATGTAACATCTAATGGTTATATTCAGCTTACAAAGGAGAACTACCAGGCTATAAAGATACTAAAGAAAATAAATATAGTTACTGAAAACCCATATAATAAAATGGAAGTGAAATTATTTTAATGAATCCTTAAAGATCTGTGATTAGATGTTATTTAATTATAAATAAAAAAATAATTATTAAAATAAATTTAGTTTATCATTTTTTAGTCTTTATATAACGTGACAATTTTTTATTGTTTACCATAAAATCTTAAATTCTAATGAAATAACATAACATAACATAACATAAACACTCACGCCTGTCACCCAGAGGGGTAGGCAGAGACTACAGACTTCCATTTGGCACGATCCTGACACACCTCTCTCGCCTCCTTCACATCCATACACCTACGCATGCATGCTCGTCGGTTAAGGGTACTCCTAATTTGGCCCGTTTTCAATAAATCGCCAATTTGGTCGATAAATTTTCGCCTAGGACGTCCCTTTCCGACTCTGCCATTCACTTCTGCAACATAAATTTTCTTTGTCACTCTTTCCTCATCCATTCTTTCCACATGACCAAACCACCGAAGCATTCCTTTCTTAATCCTGGTCACAACATCATCTTGCAAACCACACTCTTCTCTTATCACACAATTTTTCACCCTGTCATTCAGATTCAGCCCTAACATACTCCTTAACGACCGCATTTCTACTGCATTTATTCTACTCTCGTGCTTCTTCTGCCATACCCAACTTTCACTACCATACGTTAAAGTAGGGACCAACACAGCATTGTGAATTGCCATACGTGCCTTTTTTTGACACATTCTCCATTCACACAGGCTCCATTTACTCTGTTTCCTGCGTTCACTCGTCGTTCTATATCCTTATCATATCTCCCATCCCTGCTAAATACGCAACCCAAATATACAAACTCATCTACTTGCTCGATCAACTCCCCTTCTATTCTTATTTCACATATCGTTTTACTTTCATCTCTTTGATGAAATAACAAAATTGAATAAATCAGTCTTCTTTATTATTCAATGTTCATTACAATACTTTATTTCAATAATTGCAATATTACGGCTGTGACATGAAAAATGTGAAAAAATGGTCAGATTTAAAAAGCCTAACAAAAGTTGGACAGGCCGGGGTCCTTCTAATTTGGCCGGACACGCAACCAAAAAGGCTGACTGTGTCCGGTTTTATCCGGACGCCTAGCAACGCTAGGTGTACCCAAATCTAAGTCACAAACAAATTACGAAACAAAATAACCAGAGATCCAACCTTCAATTTTAAATGGTGCGATGGCATATCCAATGAATTCAAAAATCAATTGGATAAAAAAAATCCAAAATCAAATCCAAAATTTTTTTTGCCAGCCACTCAAGTTTTTTGTATTGTGTGTGTACGTCGGGATATATGTGGTCGATAGAAGTATTTCGCGAATTGATGATTGTGCAGAAATCGGTTGACAGTTTTATGCGTCCAGTATTTTCATATACAGCAACTTTTCCATTGCCAATATCTAACAGTTGTTTTAAAAAAGTTTCGGCGGATAGGTCCTGAACATAGAATACTATAATACATACATAATAGAACGGGGGAGTGGGCATAGCCCGTGTAGCCACTAAAATGTCACTAACACGTCAATTCACACGTATAAATGTCAACACGAGATGTGTTTTGACGTTACAAACGTTTCCAAATTTCGCATGCAAATTATTTAGAAAATGCCAAATTGCATGCTATTTATAAATAAATATGTATTAAAATCTGTCTGTCAACACAGCGAGTCGGGTCAGTAGTAGTGATAATATGACGTAATTGCTTGTATGTGTGCTCCCGGCGATGGCTATCGTCGTACAAAATAAGGTTGACAGCCATTCTATTGTGTATTATAGTGTTCTATGATCCTGAAGCATTTGAACGCGTATGTTCACTGTCAGTTGTACTTTTATTTAACATTACCCCACAGTCGCGATTATTTTGAGGCGGCTACTCACATGCCCGCCGCAGGGGCAGTTTAGGGTGTAGGAGTGGGGATGACCCTTAATTATCTCCTTAATTTTGATGTGTGTGTGCAAGCAGGGACAATATCCTAGGTCGCTCCTGCGGCAGGGGCGCAAGAACTTCCTTGCTCTCTACATCATAGCTGCCGTTGCCGCGTGTGTAGCGCAATTGGGGCAATTTCAATCAGTTTGTTGGCGACTTTCACGCAGAGCACACTTGTGAATAGATGTCACAATGGAAAAAATAAAGAGCACTATGGGCCACAGTACACACTTACCATCAGATGGACTGTGTAATCGTTTGTCATTTCACATTCTATAAAAAAGAGCTAAGGCTGTACTAATCCCTTGATAATTCGATAAAACTGGTGCCCTTCTCCACGCGTGTGTTCAGCGGGACGTACGCTCTCATGATGAACGGCACGCACGTGTGTAGAGACAATTCTGACGTTGCTCCGATCGCTGTATACCCTAGATTGCCCCTTCGGCAGGTATGTGATTAGCCGCCTTTAAGCAAGCCTTGATTTCATCAGCGTACGTTGAAAGTGGAATAATGGGAAGTGTATGTCGGAAACTTTGAGTATAAAACCAAAAGAGACGGCATCGCAAGGCATACCCCTCTGTAAAAGGTACGAGAGTTCGACTCATACCCGTTATATAAAACTAGTTGCTCCGCGTTGTGCGTCATTCCGAAGTGATCGTGCCAGTAAATCGAGCTCCGACAAAATGCCGAATTGCAGTGTATTTACATGAAAAAATTGTAGTGTATTTACATGAAAAAAAAAAACAATCAAAAACGTCAAGAATACAAAAGGACAATGTGACTTTTCATCTGTGAGTATTTTTAACAAAATATTAAAGTAATTTTATCATTAAAACTCGTACTTTGTGAATATTTTCGACCAATACCAAGTGTGGCCATCATAGTTCATAAAGTGAAAATAATCTATTTTTAAATAAATATAATTTAATGATTTCTTAAATTTACGCGAACACTACACATTGAATAAAACTATTATTTACGGATTTTATCGCGTTTAATTACTTTAATTTATTTTTATTATTATCCCGACGTTTCGGGTGCTTTACAGCGCCCATGGTCACGGGGGGGACTGAGATGTTTGACGTCCCAATGTCATAGTTAGTCCGGCTACCTTCAGTTTTTTTAATATTAATTTTTGGTCCGATTTACGCAAAACGAGCTTATAGTATCATGAAGTCTTGCAGTGGTATGCTTGGGTTTGGGTTTAATTTTGTTAATTATAGGATCCCAAGCAGATGGTAGCATAATGATTTCTTATATTTACGCGAACACTACACATTGAAATAATACTAGTTTTTACGGAATTTATCGCGTATATTTTAACTTTTTAAATACCCGACGTTTCGAACGCTTTACAGCACTCATGGTCACGGGCAGGACTGAGATGTTCAACGTCCATATGTCATAGTTAACCGCGGTTACCATAGATTAAAATTTAACTTTTGTTCCGATCTATGCAGTATGAACTTATGGTATCTTGAAGTCTTGCAGTTGTATGCTTGGGTTGGGATTTAATTTTATTTATTATAGGATCCCAAGCAGATGGTAGCACCCAGCCATCTTCTCTATTGAAATTAGGATGTTTTTTGATTTCAATAGCCTCGTGAATCATCCTTGGATGGAATCGGTGTTCTTTAGCGAGGATCTGCAGTCTATCAAATCTGATGTAGTGACGGGGGCGATCCTGTACGTGTTCACAGACTGCAGACTTCCCGGAGCGTCGATTCTTCACATCAGCTATATGTTCTTTAACGCGGGTTTTTATTGATCTTTTAGTTTGTCCTATGTAGGAGAGACCACATTCACAATCAAGCTTGTACACTCCTGCATCTTGCAGAGGGACA